GAACAGGATGATAAAACATTTGGGGGCAAAGATACAACCCAGTAAGCCAGCACTGGAGGATAAGATGGAGAAGATCTCCACAGCCACCATGTATTTTCCTTTGGTACTCAAGTAGCTGGGAACAAAGGACAACCAAACACTGCAGAAGACAAACATGCTGAAGGTGATGAATTTGGCTTCATTGAAACTGTCAGGGAGTTTCCTAGCTAGAAAACCTGCAGAGAAGCTGACAATGGCCAAAAAGCCCATAAAACCCAAGGCACAGTAAAACATGGTCACCGATCCTTCATTGCATTCTAGTACAATTTCTTGAGACACTGAGTGATTATCAAGGTCTGGGTATGGTGGGAATGTCATTAGCCATGAGGCACAAATGGTGGCTTGAACAAGAGAGCAGGAAAGAACGATGGAGCTCACTGTTCTTTTCCCCACCCATCTCCTCATTTTAGACCCAGGCTTGGTGGCCATAAACGCTAGGACCACCACAATGGTTTTGGCCAACAAACAGGAAACTGCTACTGAGAAGATATTGCCAAAAGCTGGTTGTCGAAGAAGACACACAATTTGATCGGGTTTCCCAATAAATAGTAAAGCACAAAGGAAAGAAAGTAGAAGGGAGATGAGGATAATGTAAGTGAGGTTCCTGTTGTTGGCTTTGACAATGGGAGTGTCCCTGTATTGAATGAAGATCCTAAGTACCAAAGATGTGATGAAAGCCAACAAAAGAGTACAAACAGCCAAACTCGTTCCCAGCGGTTCTTCATACGATAAGAAAGTTATAACTTTTGAAATGCAGGAATCTTTGTTGTGGTTTGGGTATTGATCTTCTGGACACAGAGAACAGTCATCTGTATTTAAAAACAACCAGCCAAAATCTGTTGATAATGTGTTACACTAATCAACACATGGCCCCTGTTTACAGAACATGGCCTTGAGGTGCTTAGTCTGAGATATGAACATGAAAATGAGATCAAAGAAACAAACCAATGAATATGAAGGGAATTTGATTTGTCCAAAGGAGATATGTTGGGACATGGGAAGTAAACTGTCAGCCTGCCAATAATCTTGGCATCATCTGGGAGGAATAAAAAATAGTCATGCTAACTTATCCCATTGTCCCACATTGTATGCAGTTATACCCAGTGGTAGGTCAATTACCAAGGGGTCTATAATATTGAAACACTGTAATGCAGAGACTAATTGGCCAGGGATGGTTGAAAAGGACTGTAGTATTAGAAAGCTTTGATGCAGATACTTACAATGAAGCTCAGATACAAGCTTATTCACTTAATATTTAGGGACCTTTGACTCGACTGCCAGTTTGCTGTAGTGCTTAAAGGTGCTTGTCTAGGAGTGGAGAGAATGTGAGTTCCAGTCCTCTCTTTAGAGATGAAAAAAATAATTGGGTGACTTTGGGCCAATCACGCTTTCTCAGCCCCAGAAAGAAAGTACTTGCAAACTACATCCCAAGATGTTGCCAAAAAATGTATGCACCTGTCCATGTCATCAGCAGGAGTAAAGATTGACTAGAATGTCATTGTTCTTATGAACATATTCTATGCTGGTCAGGGAATAATCCAGGACTTGAAACCTCAACAGGCAACTCAAAGCCTTCACCTGTTTTATGTCTCATTCTCTCCTTGGATGTAGTTTATCAAGACTTTTTCTTGCATCTCCCCTGTCCTTATATCTGAATGTAGTGTATCCTTAACTCATGCAGCTTATGTATTGTAAATAATTTCACAAGAGAATTGCATGCCTGCCCAGACATCTGTTCACATGCTGATTCACTCCCATTGCCTTTTTTCTTTTTTCTTTAAGAAAGCAAAAAACAAACAAAAAAAAACTTCTGTACATGGTATCTCTTACCCTCTTCAATTGAAATCTTCCCTTCTGGACATGGAAGGCAATCATAACAACAAAATGGCTTCCCTTCCTTCTTGGTCTTCCTATATCCTTTCCGGCAATGATCATTACACAAAGAAATAGGGTGTGCCTAATCCAAAAAGAATAAGAATAATACTTTAGCATTCAGATGGATGGATAGATAGATTGATAGATAGATAGAATTGTGATTTACTTCATGCTGGAGAATCAGCATTTCAGAGTGCATAAATGACAAATGCTGACAACACTGACTAGTTTAATAATTAATAATCAAAGAGTACTTAGTTGGTAATTGACTGTTGGAATCTCCAATATTCTTGGAATATTGTTATGTGTGTGATAAATATGTTGGTCAAATGCTAAATATTTGCAGCTTTTGTCCTGAACAAATGTCTCTCAATGTAGCTAACAATGTATGAAAAGTACTATGCAGCCCCTTCATAACAAATCTACCACAAGGAAATAAAAAAGTCTAGTTTCCTGTCAAGGATTCACTGCTTAATATTACTTTCAAACCTGATAATTATCAAGCAGTGGGTGAGAGATCACAC